CACTGCACCTTGACCGTGGGCACAGTCAGCCCACAGATGCAATTGATTTTAAGACAGAAGAGTATGTCTTGGGCTTGCTTCGGCAGCACATAACACTAACGTTGGAAAGGTGGAAGAGGGTGGGTCTTTATACTGAGGTCCTGAGACCATTTTGAAACAGACTGAAAACACCGGAAGAAACTTACTTGTGAACTTGAGAAACTGGTACTAGTAGACCAGGAAGGTCTGTCCCTAAGTTCCCATCACCCCTGTGCTCGTCTGATGGATTTGGTTTCTCTGTACCCCCTCTTTAAGGTGTGCTGCAGGGGGGAACATCCAGCTACAGTCAGTGTTTTGAGCACTTAACTATTTATATCAGGAATGCTTTTGGTTATAAGAAACAGCCTAACTGTAGCTTAAATAAATATGGGACTGACTTTTTTTCTCCTGCAACAAGTCAGATTTGAGCAGCTGTGGCCGGGGGTAACTGTGTTTCTCTGACTCTCTTGGCCCTCTTGTAAGCTTGAAGTCTGCAGGTCTCATCCTCACATCCGTGTTCAAGGCAAGAAAGAAAGCTAGTTTCCCCAGAAGCTTTCCAGCAGATTACCCCTATATCTCATTGGCCAGAACTGGATCCCTAACAGCAAGGGAGGCTGGAAAAGAGAACAGGACAATCTCAGTTCACCTTCCCTGGGGCTAGACACACTGCTGACCCCAACGGGATTGAGTTCTTTTAAAATTTTTTGTTTTTGTTTATTTTTGAGAGGGAGAGGCAGAGAGAGAGAGGGAGACACAGAATCCAAAGCAGGCTCCAGGCTCTAGGCTCTGAGCTGTCAGCACAGAGCCTGACATGGGGCTCGAACCTAGGAACCGCGAGATCGTGACCTGAGCCGAAGTCAGACGCTCAACCGACTAGGCCACCCAGTCGCCCCAAATGTCCTTTTTTTGAAGAAATTTTTAAAATATTTATTTTTGAGAGAGAGAGAGAGAGAGAATAAGGGGGGGGAGGGGCAGAGAGAGAGGGAGACACAGAATCTGCAGGAGGCTCCAAGCTCTGAGCTGTCCGCACAGAACCCGATGCGGGACTCGAACCCACGAACTGTGAGATCATGACCTGAGCCGAAGTCGGACGCTCAACTGAGTGAGCCACCCAGGCGCCCCTGGATTGGGTTCTTTTAGAAAAGGGGAAGTGGGGTTTTGATTGGATAGGCTCCTATGCTGGGTTTACCACTGAGCGCCTATAACAAGAAGCATTAGGGAGTAGGATTGAATGGATGTAGAGATATTGATCCCAATTTATCATTCACAATGCTGGATTGAATGCTTTTACAGAAAAATGTACCAACTTTTTACTTGAGTTCCTTTCAAACCCTGAATGTTGTAAATATAATTCTTGTAAGCCAGCTGTGCTCCTTCCTTTGCCCTGGGTCCCTCGTCTGTTTTTCTTTTTTTTTTTTTTTAATTTTTTTTTTCAACGTTTATTTATTTTTGGGACAGAGAGAGACAGAGCATGAGCGGGGGAGGGGCAGAGAGAGAGGGAGACACAGGATCGGAAACAGGCTCCAGGCTCTGAGCCGTCAGCCCAGAGCCCGACGCGGGGCTCGAACTCACGGACCGCGAGATCGCGACCTGGCTGAAGTCGGACGCTTAACCGACTGCGCCACCCAGGCGCCCCCCCTCGTCTGTTTTTCAACCCAAGGAGTAAATACCTTTGTGAAGTAGATAGATTTTTCCTTCTTAAAGCGTTGTCCTTGCAACGTGTGAGCTTGGATTTTTATTTTATTCCTCTGTTGGTCCTCGCACTGCCTGCCTGCGTCTCACTGCCCTGTGTCTGAGTCCTCCTCGCATTCACAGATGCATGTGATGTGTACCAGCTAGTCAGAGGTTTCAGGATTTATTTCTGGTATTCCACTAACATCCTTTTTCTCTTTCTCCTCCTGTTTCCTCTTCTCTTGTTTCCTCGCCTCTCTGTTGCTGTTGCAGAGCGCCTCTACAGCCAACTTGAGCGAAACCGAGTGCTCTCTAGCGAGCTGAAGCTAACGCTGCATGATCTGTGTGGCTGATGGGCAGGGCTCCCTCTGCCCATTAAGCTGAGCTTACCGCTCACACCACTGACCTGGACCTCAGCAAAAAGCTGATTGTTTTCTTGAAAGGCAGTTTTGCCCTGAGCAAATTGCTTTTTAATTGCTTTTTAATTGGGGCAGTGAGAGTATTCCTGACTTCCCCACCGCAGTGTAGTGAGAACAGTTGGTAGTGTTTCCATCCCTTTTCAAGAGATAATGGATGAAGGAGGGAGGAGCCCGCGAGAACAGAGCAAGGAAACCTGGGAGAGTTTTCTGGTTTCCACCCTTACTTGCTGCTCTTTCCCTGTGTGCTGACTGTAAGCTGTGTTCCCCTTGGCATGGATGTTTTCTAACAATAAAAGGACCGATTGGACAAGATGTCGTGATTGCTTCATCTGCAGGCCCGGAGACGGGCCCTTCTGAGCCGGTGGACAGAAGGGGAGGGAGAGGAAGGGGTGCGGGCCATCAACAGATCTGTGGTTTTGCTTGCTAGGTGTTCAGCTGCTGCTTTTTTTCCTGGCGTTTTCCTTCTTGTTTCTTTTTGCTGGTTTTATGTTTAATTGTAAGTAGCTATCGGAAGCTAGTTGTGAGCAGTAGCTCTACAAAAACCTCCGTTGAGGTTTGCTTACGTTTGGTAGTGTTCTTGGCTTCAGGGACTCTGTGATAGGCTCTGGGGGTCTTTCATTCATCCCACCAGTTGTTCTCTCCTTTCCATTTTGGAGGAAGCTTATAGCGCATGAAGATCTTGTATTCTCAGGTTGAGACTCTGATGTTTTCACTGGTAGAAACATGCCCGGAACCATGTCAAATAAGTACCATCCTACGGGCAGAGCCCCGAAGACAGAATGGCTGATGCTTAAGGCTGCCTCCTTCGGGGACTGAAAACTGAAAGCCTTGGTGGGTGTGGGTATGGGAGGAAATGACTGATAGGTCCCCAGCCCCTTCCGCCAGAGGTATAGCCACACCTGCAACTCCAGGGGGCACGCCAGAGTCCCTGCAGAAGTGGGTGGTGCAGTGGCTCAGGCCTGCTGCTGGGAAGGCGGTGCTTTGGTAGTCTGCAGCCTTCCTGCAGCAGGAGCGATTCTCACGGTGGGCAGACCTTGACCTTTACTTCTAGTTCTAGTAACGTCTCTCCTTTACACCCATTAGATAAGCTGAAATGCACCAAAGAGGAGCACCTCTGTACACAAAGGATGCTGGACCAGACTCTGCTTGACCTGAATGAGATGTAGAGCACCCCAGTCCCGCCCTGCCGCTGCTCCTCCCCCTGACCCTGACTCCGCCTGAGGCCAGCCTGCCCGAAGCTGGCCTGGAAACTGAGGGCTGATCTTTAACTGGAAGTCCGCTTTCTCCTTTTTGCCGCCTCTCCCACCCCATCCCCTGTATCTTTTTCGCCAAACTGTCTCTGCCTCTCCCCTGAGATTCCAGTCGGGCTTGAGGCCGAGCACCTTTGGGAACAACGTTTAAGGGAATGTGAGCACAATGCAAAGTGTCTTTACAAGCATGTTGTGATGTACACATTTTGTAATTACCTTTTTTTGTTGTTGCTGTAGCGACCCATTTGTAAAACATCCCTAATAATTCCACAGTTCTGAAGCAGCAGTCTTAGTCCTTCCTCACTTGGAAGGTTTGGAAAGTTAACTTTTCAGCCTAACGCACACTGCTCTCTCTGCAGAGGAGGGAGAGCGGCAAGGCCTGCCTGCCTGCCTACTGAGGGCCAGAGCCCCGAAAGGTACCCACTCTGGGAAGCTTCGTTGCTCTGTCCAAAGTACCGGCCAAATTAGAAAGGTGATTCCAGGAGGAGTTAGCCAAAAAAGTGTGGCTCAGGGTTTCAGCTTTAAGGTATCTTTGAGCAACTTTAATTTCTTTTCATCAGAAGTGACCAAACAAATTAAGGTGTGAGACCTCTGTCTGAGACCAAATCCTTGTCCTATCCTCCTCACCCCTCTCTCTCCTAACCGCTCACAGACATGGATCATGTCCCCTTTATGTTGAGGTGACCACTTATTTGCTCTCCTGCCTCCTTGAAAGAAGAAAAGAAAATTACGTGTTTGCCACTGATTTAGCCACATGAAACAAACTTATCTCGTCACCCTTCTCTGGGACTGAAGCTGCTGTCTCTAAAAGTGCCACGTCATTGTGCTTTGTGTTAGTGCTGGAGAAATCTTGAATAGCTTACGTACAAAACCGTTTTTAAATTTTATATTATTTTGAAACTTTGCTTCTTTAGGGTTGGGGCACCTTGGCCACTCTGTCAGGCTGAGAACTGTACAGTCTGTGGGCCGACGGTGTGCTGATCTTTTAAAAGTTTCATTCCCTGCCCAATCCCCCCTTTTGGTGAGGTTTCTGTGAGGTCTGTTAGGTGTGCATCCGGCAGCTTCTTGGCTTACAATGCACTCTCCTTTGGTGTGCTCTCTCCGGGGCCGATTGAGAGAAAGAAACCAATAGTGCAACTGTTTTGATACTGAAAATTGACAACTGTCTTTTTGAAATAAAGAACCAGTCCCTCCAATTCTCAGACCTCCTTGACTTTTATTTACTAATCCAAATGCGCTTTCTCCACAGGAACTATGAGGTTTGAGGTAAAAATCAGATCTTTGTGGGTGGTGGCAGCAGGATTTCATAGAGAACACACGCTTTGGAAGCAGACCACCAAAACTGGATTCGAAACTCAGCTCAGATTCTTACTTCTATGTACTGATAGAAATAAGTTGTAAAATAAAGATAATGTGTATTATCAGGGTAAATGTGGACATCAGAAATAATAGTTATACGCAAGGCCTCTTCTAGGTTACTTAAGTTAGCACTGGCGCATTCAGGGCTTTTCCTTCACAACTGTACTAGTTCCACACCACGGGTTTATTAGGCTCGGTGCTCCTTAAATCACTTCAACACTGTTCACACACTGCCCTGTGACAGCCTTTGAGCCGATAGTCCGTCGGGTATTTGGAGAGCACAGGTTAGTTTGACCAGGAGTGTTTGCTCAGAGACCGGCTGTGCGCGTGGACGACCTGAGCCTTCTTCTGGTCGCTGGTGCCTGGCATTTACTGCACTCTGGCCTTGAGGCTGGACACGAGTCTGACTCCTAGTAAAAACGACACAGCTCCCTTGACAAAGTCAGCTGTTTATGATAGAGACTGCACATTTTTTCCGTTTATAGGCACCGACCAATGCTACCTGGAAATTACAGCCCCAAAAAACCCACCAAAACTTTTTTCTGCCAGGAGCCGAACACAAGGTAGGCAACGGAAGAAATTAAACTGGGAGAAGTTAGCCCTTCCTCGACATTTTGCTCCTTTCTTTGCGGCCAAAATTTAGGGAACTTGCCCCCTGATCACGTGGCAGGCTTCCCGCCTCCCGTTGCCTAGCGCTCCCACAATTCCCAGCCGGGAGGGGGCACCGCCCCCTGTGGCGTCGCGCCCGCGGATTGGCCGGCGCCGGCGGGCCGCGGCCTCAGTCGAGCTGAGGCGCGGAAGCGGCGGTCGCCATGACGGACTCCGGGGCCTCGAGGCCCCGACGGAGCCGGCCGTTTGTCGGCTGGCCCACGCCCCGCGTCACGCTGCTGCTTCAGTGTCTGCTTGGGACCCTGGCCAACAGGCTCAACGTGCCGCAGGTGTTGCTCCCCTTCGGCCGGGAGCCGGGCCGCGTGCCCTTCCTGCTGGAGGCGCAGCGGGGCTGCTACACTTGGTGAGGGGGTACGCGGGCTTCCTGTGGGGGCCCTGCCGCCGGGCCTGGGGACGACTTCCTGGGAGCGGGGCGCCTGGGGCGGGGGAGCCCCGGCCACTCGCCCCGGGCGGCTCTCTCCGCGGGGGATCCCCGTGCGCCACTGCGTTACTGTATTCCGCGCCCCGCGCCGGCAGAAGGGAGAACTTGGGGGACGGGAGGAGGTCCCCGCTGGGTGGCCAGGACCGCCCCCTGTGCGACGGCGTGTTTTCAGGGGCGACTGCCGCGCGGGGGCTGGGCAGCCGCGACGTCGCCGGGTGCGAGAGCCTCGCGGACGTGTCCGGGCTCCGCTGCGGCCTGAGCGGCGCCGAGGTTTGTGCAGTGGACGCCGCTCGCCTCCCGCTCGGCGGCCCGGGGCCTTCGCGGCCTCGTCGAGGGTGAGGCAGGGAAGCTCGGCATCAGAGCCCCAAGAGGAGGTTTCTGGGTTTTGGTTTCGTTGGGTTTTGTTTCGTTTCGGTTTTTGTTGTTGTTGTTGGAGTTGGACTCAGACCTCCTAAGTTAGGCAGCCTTTCTACCTTAGCAGCCCGTTTATATTGGACCGAAACACATTCCTCAGAGTAGGAGAAATCTACGCCTCTCATTATTGGGAACACATCAGTGTGTTTACAGACTGGGGGGACACTATAGCAGTCTTATTTTGTTTTGTTTTTAAATTTTATTTAGAGAGAGACAGCGGGGGAGGGGAGAGAGTGGGGGAGAGACTGAGAGACGGAGAGAGAAGGTCTCAAGCAGGCTCCACACTGTCAGCGCAGGGTTCGCGGCAAGGCAGGAAACCCATGAACCTGGGATCATGACCTGGCCCCAGATCAAGAGTCGGGGGCCCGACTGACTGAGCCACCCAGGCGCCCCTGTAGCAATCTTATTTTAAATACTGAGGGAGGAATATAATACTTGTATAACTTTGCACAGGGGATCTTTGGGGAAGATCTTTGGGGAAGTCTCTCACTGAAATCTTGTGTCTCTGAACATGGTTCCTATTTTAAAGTGTCATTTACGTGCACCTGATTAAACGTAACATGGAAAAACTGTAAGAATCTGTGTTCTGCTAAAAGTTCATTTTAACCCACATTCTTATCTCCAGCCCTTAAGTATTTTATTCTGGCAGGCATTCTACCCATCATGACGCAGTAACTGTTGAGCCTTTATATGAAAACGGCACCTTATGTTCCCAAAAAGCTGTGCTCATTGCTGAATCTTCCCAACCGATACGCCTCAGCAGTATTATTCTTGCTCGAGAGATAGGTACGTTGAGAGAAAACATTATGAAATTGTTCATCTGGAGTAGAATGATATCTTTTATACATGATTAATACAGATGGTGCTTCAAATATAAAATAGAAAAAAGCATTCTGCAGTGTAAACCCTAATCGTGGCATCCTATTCTGTGACTTTTTTTTTTTTTTTAAATCTAGCACCTGGCATGGTGCCTGATACAGAGTGGAAACCGTAGTTATTTGAATCAATAAAGGAAGGAATTACTAATTGGAACTAGCGTGATTGTGTTAAGGTCTGAGGTGGGTCTTGAATGAGGCAAAAGGTAGTATGAAAACAAGTGCTTCTCAGTGTGGTCTGCGAACCTGTGCCATTGGCATCATCAGTATCGCCTGGAATGTTGTTAGAAGGGTAAGTCCTTGGGGTGCCGGGCTGGCTCAGTCAGTGGAGTGTGGGACTCTTGATCGTGGGTTGTCCCACGATTGATGTAGAGTAGAGATTAGTTAAGAATAAAATCTTTAAAAAAAAAAAAAAAATGGAGCGTCTGGGTGTCTCAGTCAGTTAAGCGTCCTGCTCTTGGTTTCAGCTCAGGTCATGCTCTCACAGTTTGTGAGTTTGAGCCCCAAGTTGGGCTCTGTGCTGACAGCGTGGAACCTGCTTGGGATTCTCTTTCTCTCTCTTTCTCCCCCTCTCTCCCCCTCTCCTCCTCTCTCCCCCTCTCCTCCTCTCTCCCCCTGTCTCCCCCTCTCTCCCCCTCTCTCCCCCCTCTCCTTCTCCCCCCTTCTCCCCCCTCTCCTTCTCCCCCTCTCTCCCTCTCTCCCTCTCTCTCTCTCTCCCTGCTCCTCCCCTGAGCGTGCTCGCTCTCAAAATACATAAACTTGGGAAAAAAAAAAAAACGAATGAAATCGTTAAAAAAAAAAAAAGGAAAAGAGGTGTAAATTCTTAGACCCCAGCTTAGATCTGCTGAATTAGAATCTCAGGGGTGAACCCAGGGAATTAACAACCTATCCAGTGATTCTCATGCACACTAAAGTTTGGGAGGCACCGTACCATTCTGTTTTAGACCAGAGCGGCTGGAGAAGTGCTATTTGTACCCAAAATCAAAGCAAGGCTTTTTGCATCCTAGAGTTTCTGGCACTTCATTGCTATATTGATAGGCCAGAAATATCTGTATAGTTTTAAAGTATTTTGATAAGTGTATGTCTGTACTGTGTTATTAAAGAGAAGTTCACATTGTTTGGCATATCATATTTCATATGATTGAAGATGCTGTCTATTAGAAAGCTGTTTTTTTTAATATACCACTAAGAAAAACATTGCCAACTAAACCGTGTTTTTCTTCACCTAGAATTTCTACTTTATGCCTGTGGAAGAACTCTGACTTAGATTGTTATTTTTATTATGTATCACTATTATGCCTAATAAAAAGGAAAATATAAATAAAATAGACTGGTTAAAATATTTCTTTTTTTAATAGATTTTTTAAAATATTTTATTTATTTTTGAGAGAGTGCAAGCAGGGGAGAGGCAGAGAGAGGGGGACAGAGGCTCAGATGCAGGTTCCTCACTGACCGGCTGGCAGCAGTGAGCATGAACCTCGAGATACGACCTGAGCCAAAGTCAGATGCTCAACTGACCTAGCCATCCAGGGGCCCCCTGGTTAAGATGTTTCTAAAACTATTTTAACATTTCTGCCTCAGATGTAACACTTTTTGGCTGGATATCTTCAACCTCTGTGTTTGTCCCCACAATATCATCTTCTGTGCCATGAAGACTGCTGGGGATGAAGTATTTCTTAAAAGAATCAATTAAAAACAGTAACACTTAAAAGCTGGGGCACATGACTGGCTCAGTTGGAAGAGCATGCAACTCTTCCCCCCCCCCCTTAATATTTTATTTTTAAGTCATCTCTATACCCAGCATGGGACTGGAACTCATAACACTGAGTTGCATGCTCCACCAACTGAGCCAGCCAGGTGCCCCAAGAGAGTACGACTCTTGATCTTGTGGTTGTGAGTTCAAGACCCACATTGGGAGTAGAGATTACTTAAATAAGTAAAACTTTTAAAAAACCCACAACAGCTAAAAGCTTTAATATTGGCCTCTTAAGTTAGCTTTGCACTTAATGGAACTGATCTTTTTTTTTTTTTTTTTTTGGTCTCCAGTTGTGGAAAAGTGCCTAGTACATCTGAGTTACCACCTTTCTTATCCCATCTCCTTAACCAGTTGATTCCCAGGGGATTAAAGAGTGTACTGCCATTGGCACCAGCTTTTCTTCCTACTACTAATACCCATTCTACAAGTTTTGATGAAAACTTTTAATGTTTTCACATAGGGAATCAATGACAACTGTGTCATGACTGTCTGGCTGACAGCAATTATAACATGTCATCAGTTATAAAAATCTCAATTTCACGGGCGCCTGGGTGGCTCAGTCGGTTAAGCCTCTGACTTCGGCTCAGGTCATGATCTAGCGGTCCGTGGGTTCGAGCCCCGCATCGGGCTCTGTGCTGACAGCTCAGAGCCTGGAACCTGTTTCAGATTCTGTGTCTCCCTCTGTCTCTGACCCTCCCCTGTTCATGCTCTCTCTCTGTCTCAAAAATAAATAAATGTTAAAAAAATTTTTAAAAATCTCAATTTCAGAGATGTTAAAATATCAAAAAAGGAGTGCCTTAGAATCAGTGAAATATGGTTATGAGGATTCTCAAAGATGAGGATCTTTGAGGAATGTGTCATGCAAGGCAGCTGCAAATGGATAGAGAAGGATCCCATGGTCAGAAAAGAATTGTTTTGGTCACATAAGCAATTTTTTAAAAAGTTTGTTTATTTAGAGAGAAAGAGCAAGTGGGGAAGGGGCAGAAAGAGAGGGAGATAGAAAATACCAAGCAGGCTCTGCACCACCAGTGCAGAGCCCAACATGGGGCTTGAACTCACGAACCATGAGATCATGACCTGAGCTGAAGTCAGACACTTAACCAACTGAGCCACTCAGGTGACCCTTACATAAGCAATTTTTAAATGTCATTACTCTTAACTATGTGAATTAATTCTGATATCAAAAGATTCGTTTACACAGTTGCTAGGAAAAATGTCAAATCTGGCTCTCACCTTAATTTTATCTGACTTGTATATATTCCAAAGTTAAGTATCTTTTAAATCAGTTTTCCCAAATTTGATATTAGTACAGTTGTGTACATAGATGATGAAATGCTCAATGATAAATGGTATTCTCAGTGTCCTACCAGGTACGTTCTCCTGTGAGTGGAAAAGAGCACTCTGAATGGGGGAGGCAGAAGAAGGAGAGGACGTTGTGGAAGAAAAGTATATGCCTAAGAGAGATTGTTCATTCATGTTTAGGTGCTTAGAATTTTATGTTTTTGTTGACACTGTAGTAAAGCAAATTAGTGGCTAGGACAGAGATGATGGGTAGAGGTGAGAGACTTGAGGTGGGTGGGCGTGTTTTATTTGGTAAGAGTGCTAGATTTCTTTTGATTTTTGTTCTGTTTTGACTGGGTGCTACCTCCATTTGGTAAAACCTTCAAGGAATATACAAAGTTATATAGTGAAAAGTAAGCCTCTGATGTCATTTGTTCAAGAGGCAGCCACTTTTCTGTATCCTTCAGAGGCCGTCTGAATATATGAATATGCCTTTTTCTAGTGGGAAATCTAGATTTTTAACCTTAGGTAAAGGACAACTAGAGTTTGAAGATGAAGGCATGATTTTAGCTTACTTGGAGGATAAAGAAAGGGTCAGGTAACTGGATGATTTTGGAGTGGGTAGAGCATATAGGGTGAGCAGTACTTTTTGTGCTATGCTCAGCATGTTGGTATTCTGTAAACTAATCAACTTACTAGTTGATTAGTTGCTGCAGTGGATTATAATTGTATAATCAAGAGGAATTGATTGGGGAGCTGGGATAAATATGAGAGTCAAGGCAGGAAATACTTACCGTTTCTGCTCCCTCTTTTTTTTTTTTTTTAAGTTTATTTATTTTGAGAGAGAGAGAGCACAAGCACAGGAGGAGCAGAGAGAGAGGGAGACAGAGAATCCTAAGCAGACTCCATGCTGTCAGCACAGAGCCTGATGTGAGGCTTGAACTCATGAACTGTGGGATCAGGACCTGAACTAAAAACAAGAGTCAGACGTTTAATCGACTGAGTCACCCAGGTGCCCCAACTCCTTTTTTTGTTCCTGGCTCTGCATCCCTTTGGTTCTTGAATACTGGCTTCATTCTCTTATTTTTTTCTTTCTCCTTCATCTCCCTGGGTCAATTCTTCTTTCTATCTCATTTGTTTTTCTTTCATTATTACCTTACTCCTGTGTGTACCTGAAGTAATATGGACATGTAGATAAGAATATTCATTATATTATCTAAAAAAGTTACTCATTTCTTTTTATATTTAAAAGAGGTAAGTTGAAGGTATGATATTTCTCTTAATCTCTCTAAATTTATCTATAAATCATAGAGGGTAATTTCTTTTTCTTTATGGTCAGTGGCCAGGTATTGAAAAGCTTTCTCCTATAGAAGTAGTCAGATGGGTAGTCATTGTGTGCATAAGGCCTTTCATATATTTTATGTACGGTCACACTGCTTTGGTCCTACCATTTCCCTACGTATTTCTCCACGGAAGAAAAGTATTTAATTTCCCATTTAATTAGTGCTAGATTATGCAGTGCTTAATTATCTAATGTATATTACCTAAGGTCACCTTCTTTCCTTTGCTGTCCTTGGAACACTTCCTTAATGGTGTGTTTTTACCAGCAGATCCCATGACATTTCTGCTTTGATCATAGGTCCCATATCTTGGTCTTCAATTCTTTTAACACCAGATCTTTTCAATTAAATATTAGGTAAAAGATTAATCAATTAAGTTTTTAAAAATAATTTTAGTTTATTTATTTATTTAAATTTTTCTTAATGTTTATTCATTTTTGAGAGAGACAGAATGCGAGTGGGTTAGGGGCAGAGAGAGAGGGAGACACAGAATCCGAAGCAGGCTCCAGGCTCCAAGCTGTCAGCACAGAACCCGACGCGGGGCTCGAACTCAGGAGTTTTGACATCATGACCTGAGCTGAAGTCAGACGCTCAACCGACTGAGCCACCCAGGTGCACCCCAGTTTTAGTTTATTTTTAAATGTCTGTTTATTTTAAGAGAGAGACAGAGAGTGTGAGTGGGAGAGGGGCAGGGAGAGAGAATCTCAAGCAGGTTCCACACTCAGGGCAGAGCCCAACTATGGGGCTCAGTGCCACAAACCATGAAATGATGAGCTGAAATCAAGAGTGGGACACTCAACTGACTGAGCCACCTAGAGCACCCGTAAAATAATTTTAGATTTATAGAATCCATGCAAAGATGTACAAAGAGTTCCTATATACCCTCCACCCAGTTTTCTTTAATGTTCTACGTAATGTACTCTTTTTGCTCTAGGATTTAAGACACCACATTACTAAACTAAGTTGTCATGTTTCCTTTGTCTCCTGTGACCTGTGATAGTTTCTCATTCTTTCTTTGTCTTTCATGACATTGGCACTTTTAAAGAGTATTAGGTATTTTGTAGAATGTCTTTCAGTTTGGATTTATTTGATGTTTTTTCATGGTTAGATTGGCTTATAGATTTTTAGGAGGAAAACAACAGAAGCAAAGAGCCCTTCCAATGCATTATGTCAGGGTGTACATGGTATCAACATGATTTATCACTAGTGATAGTAAACTTGATCACTTGATTAAAGGTAGTGCCTGTCAGATTTCTCCACTGTAAAGTTACAATAAGTAACTTTCCATATGCTATTCATTAAAAATCATCACTAAGTTTGGTCCACATTCAAAAGAAAAGAAATTAAGCTTCACCTCCTAGAGGGAGGAGTGTCAAAGAATTTGTGGAAGTTATTAAAACCACCATAGTAACTAATAAATACTTGAGAGACGCTTTGATATATCTTGTTTGTTTTTAAAGTTTCACGCATTAATTTATTTTTTAAAAAGTTTTTTTAACATTTATTTTTGAGAGAGAGACGTGGGGCCCGAACTCACGAACTTTGAGATATGACCTGAGCCAAAGTCAGATGCTTAATCAAATGAACTTTATTTATTTATTTTGAGAGAGAGCGAGCGCACAGTGGGAGAAGAGCAGAGAGAGAAAGGGAGAGAGAGAATCCCACGCAGGCCTGCGATGTCAGCTCGGAGCCTGATGTGGGACTTGAACTCAGGAACTATGAGAACGTGACCTGAGCCAAAGTCAGATGCTTAACCAACTGAGCCACCCAGGCACCCCTGATGGGGATTTTCTATTTCCCTCATCCTTTCCACACTTTAATAGCATTCTTCTGTAAGGAAAATAACCTACATCTTACAAACAAGTTCCCATTCGTTCATTCATTATTTATATAAGTATTGACTCATGGAAATTTATTTTTGGTTTATAATCCAATGTTATAATTTATTTTGTTACTTGTTTTTCTGGCTTTGGCCATTGGGAACTCTTTCAGATTGACTCCAATGTCCTTTGGGCTTGCCCAATCTTAATTAAATAATTAGTTTTAGTACTTCCTTACTTTTTAGCACCATAAGATGAGCCTGGCTCATCTTGTATTTCCCCTGACCAGCCATTTCCTGAGGAAGTCCTGGTTCTTTTTGTTAGACAATTGTATTTAGAAACCAAGATCTCGGTGCTAATGTACTGGTTGCTACTGTAGTGTCATAGTTTCTAAACCCTCTCAGGGGACAGTGCTAGGAAATATATGTATATACACTAACCCACGTATATACATAGATCTGTTTACTTCTGTATCCATTTATCTGCATATAAACTCAAACGTGAGTTACTGATACCTTTGGTTCTAATCCTGTACCACAGCATAATTTCTTTGCTAGTGAGAAACCTGCCACTCACTATCTACAGTATATTTACTTATTTATTGAACTTCGGTGTAAATATAGTTTGGGTGTGATTAAATCAAGTTTTGTATTTCTTATGAAAGGAAGGCTAGCTTTGCCTGAAGTAGCATATTTTGATGCTCCTGGGGTTTTTTTGAAGGGCACTCGCCTGTGTTACCTAAGAAACATTTTCCTTTGATTTAAAAATTCCGTAAAAACAGATCCACAACTAGGGACAGAGTTTACCTGTGATGTCCATTGGTAATTTTGGGTATTGCAGTGGTAGTTACTTTGCTTTTTGTTTCTTGTAGATAAAGCTGAAGCTAAAAATGTAGAGTTAAAGCAGCAGAATGAGGGAGCTATGTAGGCAGTTCTCTAACACATGGTAAATATGAGAGGTGGGAATATTGTTAAAAGATCGTACAAAATAATTTTTGTTTCATTCTCAATTCATTCTGTACTGTTTCTATTCGTGTTTCTGAATTTTATTATGGCTATATTGACTGGAACTGCGGTTGGGTCTAATATATTGTTTCCAGGCTTTTTAACCTCATAGTCTAGAAAAAAACACTAGAAATAGAGAAATTTATTGGCAGGACATATGGTTGTCACCCTTTTACTTTCCTAAATAAATACATTAAAAAAATCTATTACCATGATTTCATTAAAAATTTTAATACTTCAGAGCTCAGGTAGAATATAATAATAAACTATATTCCTTTATTTTATTTTATTTTATTTTATTTTATTTTTTTAAGATTTTTTTTTTTTTTAACATTTATTTATTTTTGAGACAGAGAGAGACAGAGCATGAACGGGGGAGGGTCAGAGAGAGGGAGACACAGAATCCGAAACAGGCTCCAGGCTCTGAGCTGTCAGCACAGAGCCCGACGCGGGGCTTGAACCCACGGACCGTGAGATCATGACCTGAGCCGAAGTCGGCCGCTTAACCGACTGAGCCACCCAGGTGCCCCAAGATTTTATTTTTAAATAATTTCTTACACCCAACATGGGGCTCAAACTCACAACCCCAAGATCAAGAGTCACATGCTCCAATGACTGGGCCAGCCAAGTGCCACTAAACTATATTCCTTTAAAGTGAATACATGTAATTTTATTACTCACTATGTTAAAATTCCTACTTTTCTCATTTTTCCATGACTCAATGGAAACATCATTATAGATCAGTATTTGAGAGCTACTGTTGGTCTGTTGTCTCTTATAAATAGTGGCTTTTGTATTTTTTCATTGTGTTCTTTTCTTCCACAGGTTGAAAGCAACTGTTATAGCCTTTCTTCTTTATAATATAGAATAAGCCTTTGTGTGTTTGAGACATTGAATAGGTTCATGACCTATTGAATTAAATTCTCAGTTTTTGGGTTCATCATAGTGACTGACCATGAACTGCGCTGCGATGTTAAGGTTGATGTGATTCATAGCATTGAAATTATATCTCGAACCCGGGAGCTCTATGTAGATGATTCACCGCTGGAACTGATGGTGAGGGCATTGGATGAGGAAGGTAAAGGACTTCAGAGGAGTCAAGAAAATTACCTAAAATAATTTAATACTTCCTCGTGTTTGGCACTTGGAAAAAAGCAACTTGAGACATAAAAGGAGATTAGAAATCATATTTATTTTTTATATGAAGCTCATGTACATGAGTGTGATTCAATGTATTTGCTACATACTTTCATAAAATGTTTCTGCTTATTTAATTATTGGTTATCTCAGAAGTTTTTTTAAAAGTCCAGATTCTGCCACTGAGCTTCTGCTAGTGGTGCCTAGATCAGCCATTAAGAATATATAATTTTTCTTTTTTTTTTTTGGAATTTATTACTAGCTCTGTTTTGATTAGTCTACTTTCTATAGGCTACGGGAATTATGTGTAAACCTATGAAAAAGTCTTATAATTTTATCTTTCTTGAAACTGATTTTATATTGCTTTTAGTATACTATATTAATGTATAATATGGTATTTAAAACATTTAAATTTATTGCCACACTTTTTAAAAAATTAATTTATTCATTTTGAGACAGAGAGGGAGCATGAATGGGGTGGGGCAGAAAGAGAAGGAGAGAAAGAATTCCAAGAAGGTTCTGGGCTCTCAGCACAGAGCCCGACACAGGGCTTGATCCCAGGACTGTGAGATCATCATCTGAGCCGAAATCAAGGGTCAGACACTTAACCAACTGAGCCACCCCGGTGCCCCTATTGCCATGCATTTTTGTAAGAGTAATTTTTTAAATCCGAAAAATGAATGTATTATAAATGTTTTGGAATCTAGTTTTTATAAAATGTTGGAGGGACTGGGGGTTGGGGATGCCTGTCAACCCTGACGTAGACCTTAAGGTGGCCTTTATGTAGAAAGGAACAGAAAAAGTGGCATAACTTTTGTCAGCCAGAAGTTGATCAGCTTGAGTCCTTTCTACATTCAGAAAATTTGTGTAGCAACAGCACTTTTGTTCATGTAGGGATCTTTCTGGTATATGTGTTTTAATTCATTATTGATAGTGCTTCTGTTTGTTAATGGAAGAGGCCTAAAAATAATTTTAAAGTTAGATTTCTCTTTCTTGTTAAAGATACCTGAATATTTTTGAATATGTGATTCTGTCTTGTCTGCTTTTGGCTTGCTCTACAGGAAATACTTTTAGTAGTTTGGCAGGGATGATGTTTGAGTGGAGCGTTGCCCAGGATAAAGAATCAGCAAGAGGAGAATTGTCTAGCAAAATTAGGTAACATTGAAACCAAACATAAGCCATCTGACTTTGAAGGAGGCATTTGCCTTTGGGTGGCACAGTGAGCAGCAGCCACTTGTACGGACTTTGATAATCCTGCCATCTGGGCTTTTTTGGAACAGATAAATTTGTCAGGGGGAAATGTCTTTGATACAATGACATATGGTGTGGGCATAGGTACTTTATGATCATTTAATTTGAACCACTGCAGAGGAACTCGTGAGCTTAGGACTATATAATTGTTTGAACCAGGTGTATCTTCTGGCGGTTTTGTTGAGCATGCTGTCTGCACATGCTGAAATACAGTGAGCGAATGGATGATAGTATGAAATTTTGTCTTTAGTGCTAAGAAATTGCTCTCAGACAGTCCCAAGTGTTAGTCCCACAACAGTGTTCGCCACAGGCAAATTAAATACTTTTGTTCTATCTAATCCTATGGAAAACACAATTTAAAAACTTTTTTACACTGTATAGACTTTGAAGAGACTGTTTAAAGTCTCTTAGGGGCTTTTGGAAGATGACTCCTTATTTGATTACACTAGAAACAAACTTTGTCTTATCTCTTAAGGATTCTGAAATACTCTGAAGCAGAATACTCTCCCCCAGTGTATATAGCTGAGATGGAAAAAGAAGAGAAACAAGGAGATATGATTTTGGTGTCTGGGATCAGAACTGGTGCTGCTGTTGTAAAAGTTCGAATTTATGAACCATTCTACAAGGTAAAAAGTTTGTGCCATAAACTTAGATTAAAGAACCTTGCCCGTGGAATATAATTTTTTTTTAACGTTTATTTTTGAGAGAGAGAGCATAAGCTGGAGAGGGGTGTATATAGAGAGAATCCCAAACTGTCTCCACACTGTCAGTGAAGAGCCCAATCCCACGAACCCGTGAGATCATGACCGGAGCTGAAATCAAGAGTAGGACACTTAACTGATTGAGCCACCCAAGCACCCCGAAAGCAATTGTTTCTTATATTTATCTATAGTGGAAGCCCTCTAATCTGATATGATTTGGGTCAGTAATTGGTCATTTAATTGAAAAGTCATTTGAGGGGTGCCTGGGTTGCTCAGTCATTTGGGTGTCTCTTTTTCTTAATTTTTTTTTAAGTTTATTTATTCTGAGAAGTGTGTGAGTGGGGTAGGGACAGAGAGAGAGAGGGAGACAGAGAATCCCAAGCAGGTTCCGCGCTGTCATTGTAGAGCCCAGTGTGGGGCTTGAACTCAAAAACCGTGAGATCATGACCTGAGCCAAAATCAAGAGTCAGGCACTTAACCAACTGAGCCACCCAGGCACCCCAGGAAAGAATTTTTAAATATCTGTAAGATATTTTATTATTTTTAAAGTGTTTGTTTATTTTAGAGAGAGAGAGATGGAACACAAGCAGGGGAGGGGCAGAGAGAGAGGGAGACACCAATCTGAAGCAAATGCCAGGCTCTGAGCTGTCAGCACAGAGCCCAGTGCAGGGCTCAAACCCATGGACTGTGAGATCATGACCTGAGCCAAAGTCCGATGCTCAAGCAGCTGAGCCACCTGGCGCCCCTCTATAAGATATTTTAAAAGAAACTTGTAAGAAGTAAATTTTTAACAAGCAAGATGACCTTCAGGATTTTGCCTATGGAACCTGTTTTTTTCCTTCCTCTTTTAGAACGTGGCAGCAGCATTGATACGTCTGCTGGTTTTGGAGAATATATTTCTTATACCATCCCATGATATTTATCTCTTAGTAGGAGCATATATTAAATACCGAGTTGCAAAAATGGTGCAGGGAAGAATGACAGGTAAGGTGATTTATCTTTTCCTAAGACTTAACATTTCCCAAATCCTTCCTGCTGACAGTAAGAGAAGCAGCTCCACCTTATGTATACACATACTTTGTGTTTTTAGATTTTGTGATAAAGTATTCCTAAAGTGCTATACCTGAGATAATATTGGATAGAGATGGTCCCCATATCTTGAACAGGCTAATGCTTAGCATCAGTGCCTATGGGCTTCTGAATTCTGGTACTAGTTTGGTTTTTTTTTTTTAAGTTTATTTCTTTTTTTTTTTTGAGAATGAGAGCACAAGCAGGGTAGGGCAGAGAGAGAGAGAGAGAGAGAGAGAGAGAGAGAGAATCCCAAACAGGCTCCACAATGTCAGCAGAGAGCCTGACATGGGGCTCAAACTCACAAACTGTGAGATCATGACCTGAGCGAAGTCAGATGCTTAACCAACTGAGCCACCCAGGCGCCCCTGTTACTAGTTTTAATAGGGCAAGTGAGGAAACTTTACCAGAGGGACTTGAATGATTTTTGCAAAAGTTTTTTTTTTAATTAAAAAAAATGTTTATTTATTTTTGAGAGGGAGAGAGACAGAGTGCCAATGGGGGAGGAGCAGAGAGAGAGGAAGACACAGAATCTGAAGCAGGTTCCAGGCTCTGAGCTGTCAGCACAGAGCCTGATGTAGGGCTCGAACTCACAGACCGTGAGATCCTGACCTGAGCCAAAGTCAGACGCTTAACTGACTGAGCCATCCAGGCACCCCATGAAAGTTGTTTCTTGAGAAGCTCAGTTCATTAACTGAAAACTCAACACTCTAATGATCCCAGAAGTCCCATTCAGTTTATAAAGTGTGCATTGGATCCATTAGCATTAGTCCTTTCCTTACTTAGTGGGAATCCTCCCTGCTACTTTCAGTTCACTGGTTTTTAAGAATGCAAGCAAGGTCAACAGTTAACTCATGTAGTATTCTCCCCCAAAATGGCTAAATGTTGAAATTCATCATAGTGGGAAGGAAATTAGAAGTAGATCATACTCTTATTTAGGCCTGCTTCCTGATTTTCCTCTTCTAATCCAACAATATGCTGTTGTATGTATTTTTCATGTCTTACAGAGGTGGAGTTCCCTTTAGAACACTACACACTGGAAATGCAAGACCACAGAATTGCATTTAATGGGTCTCTTTCCGGGAAGGTGGCATTACTGGATGAGAAGACAGCCACAGTGACTGCTGTCCAACTGGGCCAAACTAACCTTGTCTTTGTCCATAAAAGTATCCTTTTCAAGCTTTAGCTGCTGATCTATGTTTCCCTGAGCATACTAGACATGTTCCTTGATAAAGTAATTTGGTAAAATTATCCTTATTTTGTATAGTTTTATTTTTAACAAAGAACTATAAATTATTATCATCATAATTTATAACAAAGGGTAGGTAGAGAAAAGAATAGTTGGAGCTTGGGATCTGTTGATTTCAGTACTTATTTGCAACCTCAGTTAAATTATAATTAGGAGATGGGAGGAAGACAGCTTGAAGAAACTTGTGTGAATTTTACTTAATTTGTTCTTTCCTATTTCCACATGAATAATTGAGAAAAGACGGTATGGTATTTTCTGCAGTAGATGCTTAATTAATATTTGTTAAACTGAGTTGAGAGTAATTCATTTTTAATTTTTTAAATATTTATTTTGAGAGGGAAAGAGCAAGCACGAGTGGGAGAGGGGCAGAGAGGGAGAGAGAGAGAGAGAGAGAGAGAGAGAGAGAGAGAGAGAGAGAATCCCAAGCAGGCTCTGTGCTGTCAGCACAGAAGCCCAAAGTGGGGCTTAAATCCACAACAGGAGATCATGACCTGAGCTGAAATCAATAGTCAGATGCTCAACCAGCTGAGCCACCCAGGCGCCCTGGCAGCTAAATGAATATTAAAAGCATGGACCATGATCTTTTTTCTATCATTCCATTTTCTTTAAATTTGAAATTCAAGAATACTTGATTCCTGTGATGACTGCGTCCCTCAGACTTTTCTCAGAAGTGTACACATTTAAGTTTCTGCTTTCCAAAAGATAATAAAAGATAGGATTTTTGTTTGTTTCTGTTTGTACATTTATTTTTTTCTTTGGTAGTTCACATCTGTCTTTTTACCCAACTCTGGTTCATATGATTTTCTTAAGAAGAAATTAAGATGTCCATATGAGATCCGTGTCTGGACTCCCAAATTGCACCATATATGTTGTAGAGCCTGGATTTTTAGGTATTTTTAGATAATAATTTTAAGGAAAATGAATAGCTTAAACTATTTCACTAGAAAGAGTGCATTAGAAACTAGAGTGCTTTTATTATTATTATTTTTATTTGAGAGAGAGAGAGAGCATGTGCATGCGTGGGAGGAGCAGAGGGGGAAAGAGAGAATCTCAAGCAGGTTCCACACTCAGCACGGAGCTCTATGCAGGGCTCAGTCCCATAACCCTGGGATCATGACGTGAGCCAAAATCAAGAGTCGGATGCTCTACCAACTGAGCCACCCAGGCACCCTTAGAGTACCTCTTTAACCTTCGAATTTAAACTTCTTTTGACATGTTTTCTCACACTGTTATGATGGTTACATGCTGTCTGCAAGAGTGAAGCATCTTGAAACAGATGGTGAAAAAATAGAAAGATCCATGTGATACAATATTGGGTTAGGAAAAGAGACTTTATACAAAGAAAGAAGAATACTAAAGTCCTTAGGTCATATGAATCTAATATTACGTAAAGAAGCTGAAATCTTCATTTTGAAAAAGAAGCCTGACACATTAGGAATGAGCAAAATTGTGGTTTGTTTGGTATGCAGATATAAGTGAGAGTGTTTGTTTATACCTGAGTTGAACTAAGTGAAGCCAGTTAGAACTCCAAATTATTATACAACTTGATGGAGGGAACCAAAAGGTCAACCTTGGAAACCATGTCCATCTGTTAGCAAATTTTGGACATTGAATCATTTTTATAAGTTTGTATTTTTTAATTCATTGGAGAAAAATGTTGGCCTCTTCTGATACCTTTGTTTCTTGATTTGTGTACAGATTTCACAGTCCAACCTGGAGACCGGTGGAGTCTAGAGGTGGGACAGGTGTATGTCATTACAGTAGAAGTGTTTGATAAAAGCAGCACGAAGGTCTATATTTCAGATGTGAGTGTCTTTTTTGTATTTTTCTAGCCCCTCTTGTGGATGACTTCTTGAGTGGGCCATCTTTCTGGCTAGGAAGGGGTTTTTTTCTTTTGCTTCCAGATTTTACTTTTAAAGTTACTACTTTATGTGTGTCATTAAATAGTTCTGTCCTTGAGGAATCCTAAACCAGAAGTAAAATATATAGTTCAGTGATAATTCTAGAAAAGAGGTGGAGAGGGTCTCATTCACCAACTCCCTTAGAGCTGGTCACCCCCAGCGGCGTGGGGTGAGGATCAGTGGCGCCACAGACAGCAGTGCGGCACTCATGTTTCAGCGCCCTTTTGTTTTCCCTGAAAACTGTCAACGTATGGAAAGGCAAAAATTATACCCAAATTTGCATAAAGTTTGACTCTTTCTATTTCTGATCACTTGCCATTAATGAATCTTTCAAAAATTAGTATCATTTTAAAAATTACATCTTTCCGACTTTCTATGACGAGATACTTTACATGATCAGAGCAAAGGTATTATTTTTATTTATCCCTAGAATGCATATCCACACCTTTTTTTAATGCTTTGGGGTTAAGATGGAGTTAGTGAAAAAACATCTCCAGTTTTGTATTGCTGTTGGGCTAATTTTCAGAATCTCAGGATTATGTTCCAGTTCCTACAGGAGTACTTTGAAGAGCGGCTCACTACGGTGAATGGATCTTATCATGTGGTAAAAGCCCTGAAAAGTGGTGTCGTGCTGATAAATGCATCCCTGACTTCTATCATTTACCAGGTAGGAATTTATTTTTATTTAATTCAAAATTTTTTTTATTAGTTTATTTTTTGAGAGAGAGCGAGAGCAGGGGAGGGACAGAGAGGGAGAGAGAGAATCCTAAGTAGACTTCACACTCTCAGCCTAGAGCTGGACGTGGGGCTCGAACTCGTGAACCGTGAGATCATGAGCTGAGCCAAAATCAAGAGTCAGAGGCTTAACCGACTGAGCCATCCAGCCGCCCCTACCAGGTGGGAATTTAAAGGATAATCTTTAAATCCTGAGAACCCTGATGAGGCTTGGATGACTTGTTGATTTGCAAGCAGATACGTGGCATATTCCACCTGTATCTTTCAATAAAAATGAAAAAGAAGACGATAAACCGTATACTTGGTAGTTTATACCTGTACAGATTTCCTGTTGCAGTTTTTGTTATTGCTCATATTTGCATTTCTGGTCATTGTGTATACATTCACCATTTGAGGTTCCTTTAAAAAATTATTTGGGTGTACCTGAATGGCTCATTCGGTTAAGCATCCAACTCATGATCTCAGCTGGGCTCTGTACTGGGCATGAAGTTTGCTTAAAATAAAGTAAAAAATAAAAATAAAATACATATTCATGTGCACATTTCTTTGTGTTGTCAGATCCACATAGAGTACTTTCTATTCCGAAAATCCAAAGGATTAATACGTCAGTGTATTTGGCCATGCCACCAACCTTAAACTTTTTGCATCGTTCCCATTTCTTATTCTTATAAATGCCATAACTGAATTTCTTTGTACATTTTTTTCTTTTGGTTAATTTTTATATGACATAATGCCAGATTTCTGATTTTTAAGTTTCTGATTTTTAACAGCCTGCCAAATTTATCTCCATCTCCCAAACCTATTTGTTCTTCACAGATCCTTTCATCTGGTTATTTAAGACAGATCCCGAGTGGCCCTTGACTCTTCCTTCCCCCTCACCTGCTACATCCAGTACACTGTTGAATGCCATTTCAATTCTTGTGAATGTCTCCCAACCCATTTTTTACTATTCCCATGGTGATTTTCACCTAGACCTTCATAGCAATTTTCTTCCTTCCTTCTTTCCTTCTTTCTTCCTTCCTTTTGCAATCTCTAGGGCTTGAAATCATGACCCCAAGATCAAGAGTTGAATGCTCTACCAGCTGAGCCAGCCAGGAGCCCCTCACGTTTTTTTGTTTTTTTTTTTTTTTAATGTTTATTTATTTTTGAGAAAGAGAGAGACAGAGTGTGAGCCAGGGAAGATCAGAGAGAGAGGGAGACACAGAATCGGAAGCAGGCTCCAGACTCTGAGCTGTCAGCACAGAGCCCAAAGCAGGGCTCGAACTCACAAACTGTGAGATCATGACCTGAGCCAAAGTGGGACTTGTAACTGATTTAGCCACCCAGGCGTCCCTAATTTTTATTTTTTTAAATGTTTTATTATTTTTGAGAGAGAGAATACGAGCAGGGGAGAGGCAGAGAGAGAGGGAGACAGAGAATCCAAAGCAGGCTCCAGGCTCTGAGCTCAACCCACGGGGCCACCCAAGTACTCCAGTTTCTTTTTTCTTTCTTAACTTTTTATTTATTTTTTTAACAATTTTTTTTAACGTTTATTTATTTTTGAGACAGAGACAGAGCATGAATGGGGGAGGGTCAGAAAGAGGGATACACAGAATCTGAAACAGGCTCCAGGCTCTGAGCTGTCAGCACAGAGCCCGACACGGGGCTCGAACTCATGGACTGTGAGATCATGACCTGGGCTGAAGTCGGACACTCAACCAACTGAGCCACCCAGGCACCCCTTTTCTTAACTTTTTAAAAAATGTTTATTTTTGAGAGCATGCTTGAGCACGTGTGCAAGTGGAGGAGGGGCAGAGAGAGGAGGGGTAAGAGGACCTAAAGTGGGCTCTTTGCTGACAGCAGAGAGCCTGATGTGGGGCTTGAACTCACAAGCCATGAGATCATGAGCTGAGCCAAAGTCGGATGCTTAACCCACTGAGCCACCCAGGCACCCCTGTATAGCAGTTTTTTAATGGGTATTCCTACCTCTGATATCACCCCTAGCTGGAACCATATTCTAAAAGCTACAGAAATTGTGTGTTTACTGTTTAAATTCCTTTGGTGGCATCCCATTGGTTTTAAGGTAAAGTTAAAACTCCTTAATATGGTTTTAATAGGGCCCTCCATGACAGAGATCACAAAGGGGGTGATCTCTAGCCTATATCTTGGTTTGTGGTCTTTTTATTTTGGCGTGCAAACTTTCTATTTATTTATTTTTTTGACCTTTTATTTACCTACTTATTTTAGAGGGCGAGAGAGCATGAATGGGAGGGGGGAAGAGGGAGATAGAGAGAGAATCTTAAGCAGGCTCCAGGCTTAGCACAGAGCAGATGTGGGGCTGAATCCCATGACCCTGGGATCATGACCTGAGCATCAGTTGCTCAACTGAATGAGGTGCCCCAAAAACTTCTTTTTAATTGAGCAATTTTATTTATTTTTTACTTATTCTTTTTATTTGACAGTTTCTTTTTTTTTTATTTTAATTTTTTAAATGTTTATTTTTGAAAGAGAGACAGAGTGTGAGCCGGGGAGGGACAGAGAGGGAGACACAGAATCTGAGGCAGTCTCCAGGCTCTGAGCTGTCAGCACAGACCCCGACCATGGGGCTTGAACTCATGGACCAGGAGATCATGATCTGAGCCTGAGATGGATGCTTAATCGACTGAGGCACCCAGGTGCCCCTTAATTTAAATAAAACCTAGGATTTCTGCTTCTCTAGGTTATATGAAAATCTGAGAGGGGCATCCGGATGGGCATCCCCTCAGTCGGTTGAGCATCCGACTTAGGCTCAGGTCATGATTTCACTGTTTGTGAGTTCAGGCCCCGAGTTGGGCTCCCTGCTGTTAGCCTGCTTCGCATCCTGTGTCCCCTTCCCTCTGCCCCTCCCCAACTTGCACTCTCTCCAAACAGAAAAAAAGAATCTGACAATGATTAACTGGGACAGACAGTGGCTACACCATTTAGACTATGCTTTTAATTCTGCTGTTTCCCTCCATTCACTATTATTTCATATTCAGCTTAATAGGCCTGTCTAGGGGTGCCTGTATGGGCTCAGTTGGTTAAGTGTCAGACTTCCGCTCACGCCATGATCTCATGGTTCATGAGTTCAAGCCCCATGTCAGGCTCTGTGCTGACAGCTGGGAGCCTGGAGCCTGCTTCGGATTCTGTGTCTCCCTCTCTCTCTGCCCCTCCCTTGCTTGTGTTCTGTCTCTCTCTCAAAAATAAATAAACATTAAAAAAAAAATGCTGTGGGAATTTAATTTTGTGACTCTACCTGAATGATTGGCCCAAGACAACTTTTCCAGTTGCAGGTCTTGTCACTCTCTCTCCATTATGTATCAACCACACTGAACTTCCAGTTTCTAGAAAATGCATTCTTCCTTTCTGCCTCTAAGTTTCCTTTCCATTTGTTTATTTTCATTGTTATAAACAAATATAGTTTCTTTTGTCTATAATACTTTGTGTACTCAGTGTGAAACATCACTTCTTCAGGCCTGTTTTCCCCTTTCATATATATTCTCAGAACTCCCAAACTTCCCAGGTCATAATATTCATCATATTTTACTGTTATTATTTGCTCCTTTTATCACATTATAAACTTTGAGGGCAATGATTATGCCTACTTTGTTCACAACTGTTGCCCTAACATCTGACAGAGTGACTAACATGTCGTTGGCAGAAATAAGTATTTGTTAAATGGTGTTTGGGTTACTTATATCAATTTTAGGTTTACATTCATTAGTAAAATATGTCCAGTTTTTTCAACAATATTTACTCAACAGTTGTTTTTTTTTAAGTTTACTTATTTATTTTGAGAGAGAGTGCAAGTAGGGGAGGAGCAGAGAGAGAGGGGGGGGGAGAGAGAGAGAATTCCAAGCAGTCTCTGCACTGTGCAGAGCCCAATGCAGGGCTCGAACTCAGGAACCATAAGATCATGACTTGAGCTGACGTCGGACACTTAACTGACTGAGGCACCCAGGTGCCCCTCTTTTGTTTTCAATATTAAAAAAAATTTTTTTAAGTAATCTCTACACCCAACATAGGGCTTGAATTCATGACCCTGAGATATCAAGAGTGACATATCCTGGGGCACCTGGGTGGCTCAGTCAGTTAAGTGCCTGACTTCGTTCAGGTCATGATCTTACAGTTCGTGGGTGCTGACAGCGCCTGGAGCCTGCTTCAGATTCTGTGTCTCCCTCTCTCTTTGCCCCTCACCTGCTCATGCTCTCTCTCTCTCTCAAAAATAAACATTAAAAAAATTTTTTTAATAAAAAAAATGTGACATACTGTACCAACTGAGCCAGCCAGGCACCCCCTCAGTTTTTTCAATAATATTTAATACACAGTGATTTTTTTTGTACACTGTATGACATTTCTGGCAATTTGACACTATTGTAGAATCATTCTTCAATCCCAAAGATCCTGCTTTTTAAAAAATAATATGTTTTAAAATGAGCTCTCACCATCACCTCTTTATTTTTATTTATTTTTTTTAATGTTTATTTTTGAGAGAGAGAGAGAGAGAGAGAGAGCAAGAGAGGCAGAGTACAAGTAGGGGAGGGGTAGAGAGAGGGAGACACAGAATCTGAAGTAGGCTCCAGGCTCTGAGCTGTCAGCACAGAGCCCGACGCGGGCTCAAATTTGTGAACCGAGAGATCATGATTTGAGCCGAAGTCAGATGCTTAACCGATTGACTCACCCAGGCGCCCCACACCCTTACTCTTTTAAAAATTGTTTTTAGGGGCACCTGGGTGGCGCAGTCGGTTAAGCGTCCGACTTCAGCCAGGTCACGATCTCGCGGTCCGTGAGTTCGAGCACCGCGTCAGGCTCTGGGCTGACGGCTCAGAGCCTGGAGCCTGTTTCCGATTCTGTGTCTCCCTCTTTCTCTGCCCCTCCCCCATTCATGCTCTGTCTCTCTCTGTCCCAAAAATAAATAAACGTTGAAAAAAAAAT